GGGGGGGATGGACCCAACCACAGTGAGGGGGGGATCCAACTACAGTGAGGGCGGGAAGGACCCAACCACAGTGAGGGGGGGACCCAACCACAGTGAGGGGGGGAAGGACCCAACCACAGTGAGGGGGGGATCCAACCACAGTGAGGGGGGAGGACCCAACCACAGTGAGGGGGGGAGGACCCAACCACAGTGCGGGGGGGGGAGGACCCAACCACAGTGAGAGGGGGAGGACCCAACCACAGTGAGGGGGGAGGACCCAACCACAGTGAGGGGGGGGGGGACCCAACCACAGTGAGGGGGGGAGGACCCAACCACAGTGAGGGGGGGACCCAACCACAGTGAGGGGGGACCCAACCACAGTGAGGGGGGGCAGGACCCAACCACAGTGGTGGGGGGAGGACCCAACCACAGTGAGGGGGGGAGGACCCAACCACAGTGAGGGGGGAGAAGGACCCAACCACAGTGAGGGGGGGACCCAACCACAGTGAGGGGGCAGGACCCAACCACAGTGAGGGGGGAGAAGGACCCAACCACAGTGAGGGGGGGAGGACCCAACCACAGTGAGGGGGGAGAAGGACCCAACCACAGTGAGGGGGGGGGAGGATCCAACCACAGTGAGGGGGGACCCAACCACAGTGAGGGGGGCAGGACCCAACCACAGTGGTGGGGGGAGGACCCAACCGCAGTGAGGGGGGGAGGACCCAACCACAGTGAGGGGGGACCCAACCACAGTGAGGGGGGCAGGACCCAACCACAGTGGTGGGGGGGAGGACCCAACCACAGTGAGGGGGGGACCCAACCACAGTGAGGGGGGGAGGACCCAACCACAGTGAGAGGGGGAGAACGACCCAACAACAGTGAGGGGGGACCCAACCACAGTGAGGGGGGGACCCAACCACAGTGAGGAGGGTAGGACCCAACCACAGTGAGGGGGGAGAGGACCCAACCACAGTGATGGGGGGGACCCAACCACAGTGAGGGGGGACCCAACTACAGTGAGGGGGAGGAGGACCCAACCACAGTGAGAGGGGGAGGACCCAACCACAGTGAGGGGGGAGGACCCAACCACAGTGAGGGGGGGACCCAACCACAGTGAGAGGGGGAGGACCCAACCAGAGTGAGTGGGGGAGGACCCAACTAAAGTGAGGGGGTGAAGACCCAACCACAGTGAGAGGGGGAGGATCCAACCACAGTGAGGGGGAGACCCAACCACAGTGAGAGGGGGAAGGACCCAACCACAGTGAGGGGGGGAAGGACCCAACCACAGTGAGGGGGGAGGACCCAACCACAGTGAGAGGAGGAGGACCCAACCCCAGTGAGGGGGGAGGACCCAACCAAAGTGAGAGGGGGGGAGGACCCAACCACAGTGAGGGGGGGACCCAACCACAGAGAGGGGGGGAGGACCCAACCACAGTGAGGGTGGACCCAACCACAGTGAGGGGGGGGGAGGACCCAACCACAGTGAGGGGGGGAAGGACCCAACCGCAGTGAGGGGGGGCCCAACCACAGTGAGGGGGGGAGGACCCAACCACAGTGAGGGGGGGAAGGACCCAACCACAGTGAGGGGGGGACCCAACCACAGTGAGGGGGGGAGGACCCAACTACAGTGAGGGGGGGCCCAACCACAGTGAGGGGGGAGGGCCCAACCACAGTGAGGGGGGGGCCCAACCACAGTGAGGGGGGGGAGGACCCAACTACAGTGAGGGGGGGGAGGACTTAACCACAGTGAGGGGGGAAGGACCCAACCACAGTGAGGGGGGAGGACCCAACCACAGTGAGAGGTGGGAGGACCCAACCACAGTGAGGGGGGAAGGACCCAACCACAGTGAGGGGGCGAGGACCCAACCACAGTGAGGGGTGAAGGACCCAACCACAGTGAGGGGGGGGAGAACCCAACCACAGTGAGGGGGGAGGACCCAATCACAGTGAAGGGGGGGAGGACCCAACCACAGTGAGGGGGGGAGGACCCAACCACAGTGAGGGGGGGGAGGACCCAACCACAATGAGGGGGGGAAGACCCAACCACAGTGAGGGGGGGAGGACCCAACCACAGTGAAGTGGGGGGGGGGAGGAGAGGGGGAGGACCCAACCACAGTGAGGGGGAGGGGAGGACCCAACCACAGTGAGGGGGGGGGAGGACCCAACCACAGTGAGAGGGGCAGGACCCAACCACAGTGAGGGGGGGAGCACCCAACCACAGTGAGGCGGGGGGAGGACCCAACCACAGTGAGGGGGGGACCCAACCACAGTGAGGGGGGAGAAGGACCCAACCACAGTGAGAGGGGGAGGACCCAACCACAGTGAGGGGGGAGGAGGACCCAACGACAGTGAGGGGTGATAAGGACCCAACCACAGTGAGGGGGGGACCCAACCACAGTGAGGGGGGACCCAACCACAGTGAGGGGGGAGGACCCAACCACAGTGGTGGGGGGGAGGACCCAACCACAGTGAGGGGGAGACCCAACCACAGTGAGGGGGGGAGGATCCAACCACAGTGAGGTGGGGGAGGACCCAAGCACAGTGAGAGGGGGAGAAGGACCCAACCACAGTGAGGGGGGAGGACCCAACCACAGTGAAGTGGGAGGGGGAGGACCCAACCACAGTGAGGGGGAGGGGAAGACCCAACCACAGTGAGGGAGGGGAGGACCCAACCACAGTGAGAGGGGCAGGACCCAACCACAGTGAGGGGGGACCCAACCACAGTGAGGGGGGAGGACCCAACCACAGTGGTGGGGGGAGGACCCAACCACAGTGAGGGGGGAACCCAACCACAGTGAGGGGGGGAGGACCCAACCACAGTGAGGTGGGGGAGGACCCAAGCACAGTGAGAGGGGGAGAAGGACCCAACCACAGTGAGGGGGGGAGGACCCAACCACAGTGAAGTGGGAGGGGGAGGACCCAACCACAGTGAGGGGGAGGGGAGGACCCAACCACAGTGAGGGGGGGGAGGACCCAACCACAGTGAGAGGGGCAGGACCCAACCACAGTGAGGGGGTGGAGGACCCAATCACAGTGAGGCGGGGGGTCAGGACCAAACCACAGTGAGGGGGGGACCCAACCACAGTGAGGGAGGGGGGGAGGACCCAACCACAGTGAGGGGGGACCCAACCACAGTGAGGGGGGGGAGGACCCAACCACAGTGAGGGGGGACCCAACCACAGTGAGAGGGGGAGAAGGACCCAACCACAGTGAGGGGGGAGGACCCAACCACAGTGAGGGGGGACCCAACCACAGTGATGGGGGGACCCAACCACAGTGAGGGAGGTAGGACCCAACCACAGTGAGGGGGAGAAGGACCCAACCACAGGGGGGGAGGACTCGACATTCAGATGGAGAATATTCACTATTATTTTCGTTGTGCTTATTAGTGAGACGGTCTAGATGTGGGTGCGTGGGATAATTATTTAAGTGTAATTAATTAAATGTAGTTATGTTGGTTGTGTGCCATCCTGCAAGTACTGTGTTATATGACGCCTTGACGCTGCTGACGGTGTTCGCCTCCCTCTCACTTATCTGGGGCCACCCGACTACCATTCTCTTTACGAAAGAGAACTTTCTAAAAAAATGTTCGACAACTTTTTTTCCTTATCTTGAATCTATGGTTTTTTTCTTTGTTAGCATATTTAACACCTCTTCTTGAAGCGGTTATTTTTCAGGTCCATAAGCCATTTCATGGCATGTTTTTGTACCTATTCCAGTTTATTAATGTGCTTCTTGAGATATGGGCACTATACCACCATTGCATATTCCAATTTGTGTCTCACGAAAGTCGTGGACAGTGTCTTTCATATTTCACCGTCCGTGTATCTATAAACAATTCTGAAGATGGAAAGCGTAGCATATGCTCCTCGCACAATGTCCTGTATGTGGTACTTTCCTGAACCATCCCCAGATATCTTCCCTTGTCTGGGTTCCTTAATGCATTTCCACATAATTTGTAGGTTGTGTGTGGCCTAGTTTCTCGTATTCTACATTCTATAACTTGGAATTTATTCCCACTGAATTCCATTTGCTAAGCGTTGCTCCACAGACTTATTTTGTTCAGTTCATCTTGAAGATCATGATAACTTTCTGTCTCTTAAATTTCCAAGTAGGTTGGCATCATCAGCAAAACTATTCATATAGTTCTGTATTCCTTCTGGTACATGATGACCAAACCACACATCAGAAAGTATTCCTTCTGGTACATGATGACCAAACCACACATCAGAAAGTATTCCTTCTGGTACATGATGACCAAACCACACATCAGAAAGTGAAGAAACAACGACCTTTCGGTCCATCCTGGACCATTATCAAGCCGTGTGAAAGAAGAGAGAGAAAGGTACAGGCAAATATAAGGTAAGAGAGTGAGGTGAGGAGTAGGTAAGAGAAAGATAAGAATAGGATGTATGTAAGAAATGATTGAATGTAATAAATGGATGAATGTATGGAAAGGATAAATGTATGAAAAGGATGTAATTTATTACTTACTTTTGAACCTTAGATTACAAGTAAAACTTTCCTGTGTTTGTCACAATCAGAAGTTCATCATTGATCAACAGAAGACATGAATCAGATTTTATTAATAAATTGCCTATTGGCTTCTCACATGACACAGTGTGTATTCAAGTCCTTTAGGAAGATGCAAATTAGCCTCTGCTTATTTTGAGGTGTAATTATAATTTTGATAAATATTATAGCATATATTTCATGTTCTCTTAAAACAAAAATAAGTACACAACACGGACAGTATTAAGTACTGCAGCCAGCAGTACTGGCCTCAGAGGATGGACCTCCCTGAACTCAAAATATATGAGTCACAGCTCTGTACAAGGTGGAAGCTTGTGCATTTACTCTATTACTATTCCATTTGAACAAATATATAGTAAATAACTGGAAATTAAATTCATTATTAAAATATTGCAACATATACAGTTGCTGCCACCAAACCTAATTCCTAAATCATGCTTCGTGATAGCAGAATAAAAATAGTTTAACATAATGTCTAGGAACATTACCTTGCTCAGCTCCTTAACGGCAGCGTTCCCCCTTCCTTCCTCACGAGCCGTCAGATAAACTATGCCATCAAACTTGGCACACAGTTCTTTCACTACACCAAATCCAATGCCTTTGTTGGCCCCCGTCACCTGGTCAAAACATTACATCTTATTATAGAATATAATTTAACTTGTGAATTAAAATTTGCATACTCAGTTAATGTCACTTTCACAACAATAAAGTAAGAATATATGTATAAACTTCAGTTTAACTTAAATTTTGAATGAAGGAATTTCCTTCATTTAATGTCCATAGTTGTAAAAATATATATTGAAAAAACTAGCTCTAAATGTCGAAAAACATCTTTCTGAGTACAGCACTAAGCTGTTCACAAAGTCAAGATCCTTCGGCAGGATGTAGAACTGAGAGGTGTAAGCAAACGCCTACACATGAAGGATCTTTTAACCTTAAACTGTCATCACGCCCGGGGAGGGTTGTAGCTCCCGCGTCACACTTGAACCTTCTGTGGGTACACACAGCTCACATCCTCGGACTCGGGCCTCCAGTACACAGACGCCACCTTAGACAAAATCCTGAGGCCATCACCTAGGTTACAGGTATGAGAGGCATCAACACGGGTGGCAAGGCTGGACCCACTCATCAAGATCTAACGATATTTTCACTTACAAATTATGAATATAATAAAAACCTGGATAAATATACAAACTCATAAATGACAGGTGATAATGAGAAAGATAAATATGCTTGGATGGGAAGACAGTGGTACAGGTACAGTACTTCGTTATCATCTCGTCTACAAAATTCTGTGGTGGTACACAACCTTGAGTCTCTACGCCAGGTGCAGCTTGTACCAAGCCACAACATAAGTGTCCGTAAGAACATAGAAAGGAGTGAAAAGCTATGAAACACAGAAATGGTTAGGCACGTTCCCTAATATAACAAGTTGTTGTAACAACCAATATAACAAGTTGTTGTAACAACCCATATAATATAGTTTGACCCTTTCACTGGAGGAGCCACAATATATATATATATATATATATATATATATATATATATATATATATATATATATATATATATATATATATATATATATATATATATATATATATATATATATATATATATATATATATATATATATATATATATATATAATGTCGTACCTAGTAGCCAGAACGCACTTCTCGGCCTATTATGCAAAGCCCGATTTTCCTAATAGGCAGAGTGATTTTCTTTATTTTCAAAAAATTGTTTCCAATTGGTTTATATGAAATATTATTATTATATTATAATAGGAACATAAATTATTGACGTTTTTATGTTAGTTTAGGTTAGGTTAGGTAGGGTTGGTTAGGTTCGGTCGTATATCTACGTTAGTTTTAACTCAAATTAAAAGACCTTAAGTCATAAACAATCAAATGGATAGCTTTATCATTTCATGAGAACAAAAATCGAAAAATATATAAATTCAGGGAAACTTGGAATACAGGTGTATTTGCGGCGAGGCAGTGGCCGACAGGTACACACGGCATGGCCTTCACAACCAAAGGACAGGAGGATGGCAGGCAAGACACGGCGAGGGTTAACGACATTATTAAGAGATGCCTTACCACAGCCGGTTGTCCAGCAGAGAGAGAGCCCCGTTACCTATTGTTCGGCAACTCTAATGAGCCTGTCGGTCGCTCAGACGGAATCATGTTTCACCCCTGGAAGAATGGTAGACAGTTGGTGTGGGAATACACTTGCATTTCAACTTTAGCCAACACTTATGTTGACTTCAGTGCTACACAAGCAGGAGGTGCTGCCAATCACTGGGAAGCAGGCAAGTCATGTAAATACAGAGACCTTGAGCACCACTTCAATTTTGTCCCCATTGCCTCAGAGACACTTGGTGCCTGGGGTAAAAGTGCTGCTAGTTTTTTGAAGGAGTTGAGGTCCAAGCTAATTGAAACAACTAGAGACCCTAGAGGAGCCAGTTTTCTCTTTCAGCGCCTTAGTGTGGCGATCCAAAGAGGAAATGCTCACTGCATCCATGGTTCCTGCCCGCCATCTGAGGAGCGGGAGGAGCTCTACAACTTGTGACAAGCAGCCTTGTACCCTGCATGTAACCAATGTTGTAACCCTTTTTGTGTTAATGACATTTTCATATAAAGTTAGATATATATACACAGATACCAAAAGAATACGGGTTATCTTGAGATGATTTCGGGGCTTTAGTGTCCCCGCGGCCCGGTCCTCGACCAGGCCTCCACCCCCAGGAAGCAGCCCGTGACAGCTGACTAACACCCAGGTACCTATTTACTGCTAGGTAACAGGGGCATAGGGTGAAAGAAACTTTGCCCATTATTTCCCGCCAGCGCCTGGGATCGAACCCAGGACCACAGGATCACAAGTCCAGTGTGCTGTCCGCTCGGCCGACCGACTCCCCTCCCGACCGGGGTGGTAGAAGAAAATATCAAAGTGTTCAGTGAGGATCCACAAGGTCTTCTCTGAGTACTCTTTATTTTCTTCTCCGAGGCTATGGGTTCCTACACTTGCACTAGAGGTGGTACCCTTTCTAGGGGAAATATATATATATATATATATATATATATATATATATATATATATATATATATATATATATATATATATATATATATATATATATATAGTATATATATATATATATATATATATGTCGTACCTAGTAGCCAGAACGCACTTCTCAGCCTACTATGCAAGGCCCGATTTGCCTAATAAGCCAAGTTTTCATGAATTATTTGTTTTTTTTTTATTGGACTACCTAACCTACCTAACCTAACCTAACCTAACTTTTTCGGCTACCTTTGGTTGCGTTGCGTTGCTCCTGGGAGTATGGGCTTATTAGTATGGGTTCGAGTCACTTCTGGGGTGTGAGTTATCATTCGCATATAATATATATATATATATATATATATATATGTCCTGGGGACCATTCAGGCTTGTTCGCATTTTCAAGTGTAATATATTTTCTCACGTGTGCCCCAAAGAATGAGGTGATTTGGTGAAATGCTATGCCCAAGATTACCATCCGAGTTGCCGTCGGGGAAGTGGCTCAAATAGCCTCGGCTATCACTTCCTTTTGACGGCCGTGATGGTCAAGTGGATTAAGGCGCCCTGTAGTTACCAGTTGCGTTGCTCCTGGGAGTATGGGTTCGAGTCACTTCTGGGGTGTGAGTTTTCATTCGCATATAGTCCTGGGGACCATTCAGGCTTGTTCGCATTTGTGTTCCTCACGTGTGCCCCAAAGAATGAGGTGATTTGGTGAAATGCTATGCCCAAGATTACCATCCGAGTTGCCGTCGGGGAAGTGGCTCAAATAGCCTCGGCTATCACTTCCTTTTGACGGCCGTGATGGTCAAGTGGATTAAGGCGCCCTGTAGTTACCAGTTGCGTTGCTCCTGGGAGTATGGGTTCGAGTCACTTCTGGGGTGTGAGTTTTCATTCGCATATAGTCCTGGGGACCATTCAGGCTTGTTCGCATTTGTGTTCCTCACGTGTGCCCCAAAGAATGAGGTGATTTGGTGAAATGCTATGCCCAAGATTACCATCCGAGTTGCCGTCGGGGAAGTGGCTCAAATAGCCTCGGCTATCACTTCCTTTTGACGGCCGTGATGGTCAAGTGGATTAAGGCGCCCTGTAGTTACCAGTTGCGTTGCTCCTGGGAGTATGGGTTCGAGTCACTTCTGGGGTGTGAGTTTTCATTCGCATATAGTCCTGGGGACCATTCAGGCTTGTTCGCATTTGTGTTCCTCACGTGTGCCCCAAAGAATGAGGTGATTTGGTGAAATGCTATGCCCAAGATTACCATCCGAGTTGCCGTCGGGGAAGTGGCTCAAATAGCCTCGGCTATCACTTCCTTTTGACGGCCGTGATGGTCAAGTGGATTAAGGCGCCCTGTAGTTACCAGTTGCGTTGCTCCTGGGAGTATGGGTTCGAGTCACTTCTGGGGTGTGAGTTTTCATTCGCATATAGTCCTGGGGACCATTCAGGCTTGTTCGCATATATATATATATATATATATATATATATATATATATATATATATATATATATATATATATATATATATATATATATATATATATATATATACCTAAAAGGGGTACCACCTCTGGTGCAAGTGTAAGGACCCATAGCATCAGAGAAGAAAATAAGGAGTACTCATAAAAGACCTTGTGGATCCTCACTGAACACTCCTCCATCCTCTCGTCCTCCCCACCATCCCGCACTCCCCTGCCCCCCTTTTCCTCTCCACCATTCTCCATTCCCCTGTCCCCTCGTCCCCACCATCCCCAGGTTCCCGTCTCCTCATCCTCCCCACCAATATCCCCTCCCTTGTCCCCTCATCCTCCCCACCATACCCCACTCTCGTCCCCTCATCCATTCCCCACTCCCTCGTCAGATCCATTCCCAAATGGTCTGATGTTCCACATCAGAAAATTGGGAACATCAAATGATCTGCTGTTCCCATCACTGAAATATAAGAAAAACATTTAAAAGAACGAAATTAAAAAAATGAAAAAATAAAAAAATAAATTATTATCACGAAATGAACGATATGGTAAATAACACAGCTCAATTCCAATGCAATGTCACACAAAATAATTAAATCAAAATGCAAATAAATAGAAATCTATGAAAATTCAATTTGTCAATGCAATCGGAAACATTGGAATGGAATCATAACATTTTTAGTATAGAGTGTGTTGATCTTACGTGCAACAGATGGTGCTGTTTCTTATGAAAAGAATTTTTTTACCTGTCACAGGTGTGGCAACTATCTTGAGGTTATCTTGAGATGATTTCGAGGCTTTAGTGTCCCTGTGACCCAGTCCTCGACCAGGCATCCACCCCCAGGAAGCAGGCCGTGACAGCTGACTAACTCCCAGGTACCTATTTACTGCTAGGTAACAGGGGCATCAGGGTGAAAGAAACTCTGCCCATTGTTTCTCTCCGGCGCCCGGGATCGAACCCGGGACCACAGGATCACGCATACAGTGTTCTGTCCACTCAGCCACCGGCTCTCCCCTCCTCAACTACTATACTTATACTTACAAAATGATTGGTATGGTAAACAACACAGCTCAATTCAAACACAATGTCACACAAAATAATTAAATCAAAATGAAAATAAATCAAAATCTATGAAAATTCCATTTATCAATCCAACAGAAAACATTGAAATGGAATCGTAACATATTTAGTATAGTGTGTGTTGCTCTTACGTGTAACAGATGGCGCCATTTTAAATGAAAAGCATGTTTTAACTGTCACAGATGTGGTAGGTCTATAGTATGTATATAAGAACACGCACATATTCGAATGGAATGTTGTGTCAAAGTTTCAAAGCAATCAGCGAAAAACTTTCAGAAATTACAGCGTACTCACCTAGTTGTGCTTGCGGGGGTTGAGCTTTAGCTC